ATTGGGTACCCCTCGCAGTGAGGGTTGTCGTTTACCTGTGGGTGTTGTGTCACCAATCAGTGCCTTACTGTTAGTGTTCTAGATGGAGCTCCTTGGCTGCTCCCGCCAAAAGCTCACCTCGCCTCTCTGCCCCTTTAGCCTTTGCTTGTATCATTTTGCCAGCATTCCCTAGTCATTTTCAGTGATTGCTTTTCCAACAAGGATCCTTCTAGCCTTCGTATCTTGGTAGAGCTGCCAGCCTTAGAAGGATCCAGGTTTATGACTTAATTTCTCCCGCCTTTCCGGGCTGGCCCACCCCCTCGCTGTCCAGCACAGGGGAGCAGGTGCCTCCCAGTGAACCCCAGGCCTCGTTTTTGGGCCCTTTGGCTTCTTGGAGCCTGTATGGCTGGTCTGTAGAGCTGTCTTGTCATCCACGCTGTGAGTGACGATCCCTGCCCTGCCCTCTTCAACAGCTGAGGGGTTCACTGGCCCCGCAGCGGCTGTGTTCCAAGGCCCTGTCCTGTGCCTGCGCTGTTGCTGCTGCTTCCTGGGCCAGGGCTGCCTCATCCTTCAGGACCCAGCTGAGGTCCCAGACTCTCTGTGCTTTCCTCTCCTCACGCCTGTGCCTGGGTTGGTGTGGTCAGTCCGTTCTCCTGGTCCCACAGGCAGAAGCTCGCTGAGAATTTGCATCTTTGCATTCTAGCGTTGGGTAGTCTGGCGCCCAGGAAGTGTTTTGAGTACCTATTTAAATCATTGTAGCTGCAGGACTCCCTCTTGCCCCAGCTTTGTTGTCAGGTCTAAAAATACTTGCTGAGTACCTGCTCTGTGGCCAGCCGTCTAAGGCACACCTGTCCCAGGCACCGTGTTCGGAATTCACACCAGTCAGAGTTCTGATGCTGCTGACGGGGGCGGGGCTCTCTTCTGCTTCTCACTCTGTGCTGCTAGCTTATTTACCATGTGCCCTGGGGGTGTTTTCCCAGACCTGTTGGGAGAACCCTGTTTTGCTCAGAAGGTAAAGATCCTGAATTAACAGAGCCCCATTCGAACCTCAGCCCCTGCCTGTGGGCAGACCAGACCAGGCTGGGGGAAAGGTGTTTTGCCCCCCAGGGACACAGGGAACTGTTTTGAGTGGCCATCAGGGACCTGTTCCTTGTCCCATGCCGCAGGCTCAGATGCCATTGGTAAGACCTGCATTTGAACTTCTGCCTGGAGACAGGCAGACAGGCCAGCCAGCTGTGCTAAGATCAACGCCTCGTGAATGGTCACACCCCTCGTACCTGGCACGTGCCCTCTGTTGTGTGCCAGCAGCAAAGCGCCCACTATCGAGTTCCCCAGTCACTGGCCGCCCGACGGTCATTGTGCAATATGCCAGTTGCCATTAATATTTGAAAAATCCCTGTGTTGTGTCTCCGGGCTGCGACAGAGCACAGCCCGCTCTCCTGTTGTGCGAACATGCCTGCTGGGAAGGTCACACGCGTACAAGTTGGCAAATGCTCCCTCTTGTTATTTAGAATTAAATTTTCTTCTTGGGCTAAAGCAGTTTGGGGTTTTTCTGAGTCTCCATGTTGCTTTCTCTTGTTTCCTCCTTCCTGGGGACGCTGGGTGTGGTGTGAGGTACCCAGGTTCAAAAATCACCGTGTATTAGAAGAGCTGGACTCATAAGCAGGTAGGTCATCACAACAGCGTGCCAATGCCAGGAGGGGGTTGAGTTCAGTGAGGGCGCCCTCGGCCCTGCCTGGAAGGTCAGAGAAAGTCCGTGAAGGAGGGGGCATTTGGGCAGAGGCGGGAAGCAGGTCGGTGTGTCCTGCCTGGTTCCCTTCTCAACGGGGCGCGTGCGCCGGGCTGGGTCCCGCGGGAAGGTGCGGCCGGGGAGGCTTTCCGCTGCCGTCCAGAGGTGAGTTGCGAGTTGCTCAACAGCGGTAGAGACGCTTAGGAAAGCAGTTGGAGTCGCAGGACTTGAGCTCACAAGACGATTTCAGGCTGAGAGGAGTGTGGACCCCTGCGAAAGCCACATTTAAGAGACAGGGGGAGGAACGATAGCGGGAGCTGAGAGGGGAGGGGACGGACACAGGAGGGAGAGGAGAGATGAGAGCAGGGGGGTCCCCCGCGCCTGCTTCAGGGAGATAAGAGCCCAAGGGTGTCCTTGCGAGAAGGGAGGGGTGGGAGATGGGTGCACCCTGCTCTCTCCAGAAGCCTGACTGGGAGGGAAAGAAGAGGAGACGGAGCTGGAACTGCACGGGGGCTCTTAAAGCAGAGAGGGGGCGCTAAGGAGGCAGGTGACTTGGGGTGCCCAGGAGGTGAGATCCAGGTCCAAGCTGCGGGATGCAGAGTCAGGTGGAGAGGAGGGACAGCAGGAGGGCGAGGGCCACAGGCGGTGTGCAGCTGTCGGCTAGTGTGGAGGGTAAGAGGGTGCCGGCCGGTGGCGCTGAGGGCCGTGACCAAGGCAGCAGCATCTTTTCCCTCTGCGGATGGTGTGCAGGGCCGACTCCTCCTGTAGGTGTGCCTGGCGCCTGAGAGAGCGCACCAGGGGCTCGGCGGGCAGGTCTAGGCTGAGTGGGCGAGGAAGTAGATCGAAGAGGGGCTGCTGGGTGAGGGGAGATGGAGTCACGACGTGTGGGGGCGGGGGGGACAGTATAGAGCGCTTGGGTGGGTTCCGAGAGTAGGGTGCTGGTGACACATCATCTCTGGGTGGAGCCGTTTCAGGGCTGACCAAGATGTGGATGAAGCGTTAGAGATGTAAAGGCTTCTAAAGTTGGGGATCATCAAGCTATGAGTGCCTACTCTGCCCTCTAATGCCCTGCAGCGAAGGCTTTGAGCTGGGATGAGTGCGGGTGGGCAGGGTCCTGGGAGAGCCCAGATAGAGGAGGACTACGTCCTGGGAGAGCCCAGATAGAGGAGGACTACGTCCTGGGTGAGCCCAGATAGAGGAGGATTACGTCCTGGGAGAGCCCAGATAGAGGAGGAATGGGTCTAGGGAGAGTCCAGATAGAAGGGGGGCAGGGTCCAGAGAGCCTAGGTAGAGGGGACAGAGTCCAGGGAGAGCCCTGATAGAGGGGGGTGGGGTCCGGGGAGAGCCCAAACAGAAGGGGGTGGGGTTTGGGGAGAGCCCAGATAGAGGGTCCTGGGAGAGCCCAGATTGAGGGGGGGGTCATGTCTAACCCAGATGGAGGGGGGCAGGGTCCGGGGAGAGCCCAGACAGAGGGGTTAAGGTCAGGGGGGAGTCCCCTCTGGCCAGAAGGACAAAGGGTACATTCGGGGAGAGAGTGACGAGTTGGGTGTTGTGTGTCACAGACAAGTTCCAGAGCAAGAAGAGGTGGGAGTTGGGTGGGTGAATGCGGGGCAGCACAGTAAGGGAATGTGGGGGGTCGGTGACCGTGGTTTCCCCAGTGGGCCACGCTGTCACCACTAGCCATCTGCACGATCGGGAGTCCTCCTACAGCTGAGGGCAAAGATGGGAAGATGAGTGTGCCCCACCCAGGTTCCAGACAGTGTCCTGCAGCTTTGTCCCCGTGGCCTCCGGCAGATTCCTGGGGGGGAACAGGGCATTTCCTGGCCTCCCGACAGACTGGTGGGAGGACTGGACCTTGTGAAGAAGTCAGATTTGACTCACACTTGAGAAGAATGTTCCAGAGCAGTGGGAGACGGTGGTCATCGCCCACCTTGGAATATGCCCCACTCCAGGCCTGCTCCAGTGCCCAGGCCTATCCCTGCCCCTTTGGGTTGTGTGAGCCAGACAGCCTCAGGGACATGTCGTGACCCCCCCACCTCCTTCCCTCTTCCTTCCCCGGAGGCTCCGTTTCCCCTCCCACGCGGCTTGTCTTCCCTGCCTGGCCCGGTGGCCTCTGCACTCGGAGCATCTCCGTCTCAGGCAGCAAACACATCCCGTGATGGTTCTGTCTTTCTGGTCCAGACACCCTGGGGGGGCTGGAGAGGGACGGTGTCACCTCTGCGTGCCCGGCTCTGGTGCCAAGAACGAGTCGAGGGGCTCCTGGTTCTGCTGCACCCTGGCCTTTTTGCAGGCGCCACCTTGAGAGGGAGTGATGATCTCTAAGGCTGAGGAGCCACCTAGAGATGGGGAAAGCTCTGAACGCCACTCGGGGGCACTGCCTGGGAAGGGGAGCAGTTCCCTGTCACGCGGAGCTCCGCAGGCCCAGAACCAAGTACGTCACTGCCTCTCCCTCCCCGTCCTGCCGTCCTTTGTCTCCTGGGACGCAGGGCATCCGTGCACGCGCCTGCACACGCAGCTGGGGCCACAGCCTCCTCCTCCTCCGTCCTTTGTTTCCTGGTCCCGCTCCCTGAACAGATGTGGGATTGCTCAGGCTGTGAAGGAAGAGCTGAGACCCAGCTGTGACACCAGCCACCCTGTCCTGTGCGCGGTGACTAAGGCCCAGCAGGCCCAGCCCTGGCAGCCTGAGCTGTTCTGCGGTGGGGGGTGGGTCAGGATCCTGGTGCGTGCCTACTTCCCTCTGCTCTGCCAACTCGCCCCTGCCTTGGGCCGGGTTCTCTGTCCTTGGCTTGGGTGTCTGCCTTGGGTCACCTCTTCTGGTGGAGTCCACTCCTGGGCAGTGTGTTGGGTCCACGCGGGGGCTGGCCTTATCCCCCTCCTTCTCATGCCTCTTTTCTGGACTCCGCCCTCCTTTCTCAGCCACCAGGGTTTTTTTTTCTCCAGCCTGTGGATCCGATCGGGCACCTAGGTGGCTCAGTTGGTTAAATGTCTGACCCTTGGTTTCAGCTCAGGTCATGATCTCACGTTCATGGAATCGAGCCCTGTGCTGACAGGGTGGAGCCTGCTCGGGATTCTCTCTCTCACTCTCTGCCCCTCCCCTGCCCTTGAGTGTGCGCATGCTCGCTCGCTCTCTCAGAATGAATAAACTTTAAAAAAAAAAAAAAAAAGTGGCTCTGGGGCGCCTGGGTGGCTCAGTCGGTTAAGGTCCAACTTTAGCGCCGGTCACCATCTCACGGTCCGTGAGTTCGAGCCCCGTGTCGGGTTCTGTGCTGACAGCTCGGAGCCTGGAGCTGCTTCGGATTCTGTGTCTCCCTCTCTCTGCCCCTCTCTGCTCATGCTCTGTCTCTCTCACTCTCAAAAATGAATAAATGTTTAAAAAAAGAAAAGTGGCTCTGATCATGCCACCTGCTGCTGAGACTCTCCTAGAGGTCCCCCTTGCATGGGGTGATGTCCAGTCTCCTAGTGCAGGTGGCACGCAGGCCATCAGCCAGCCCCCTCTTATCTCAGCCCTGGCCACTCACCACCACCTGCCTCAGCTGCCCCATGTGCCCATCCCCATTCCTGCACCTGGCTGACTCCTCATCTTTGTACCCTCGGGGTACCATCGCCCCTGCTGCTGTGCTCATGTGAAGTCTACACCTCGCCTCGGTCATCTCCCATTGCCCTGCCTGGCCTCTCATGGCACAGAAGAGTCATGTCAACACATGTTTGTCAAGTGAATAAAAATTTGGGGTGAGGGGAGCCATGGTGTGCTGGACCCCCGGGAGGCACGGCCTGGGAGGAAGGCACAGCACCCAGTGTCAGTGAGTGGTTACAATGGAATCACCTGGGCTTCGTGTGCACATCTGTGTTTGTCATATCCAAGTGTTGTGGAAAATCACGTTCCCCACCCGAGAGGTGGGAAATGCAGAGGTCTCATGACTCATCAGATCCTGGGTGGTGTTTGGGGACAGCAGTGAGACCCTGAGAAGCTGGCCCTGCATGTGCTGAGGAGGGAGCCTGGGTGGGGCTGACCCTCCAGGTGACTGTCCACTCCTGAAGTGGGAGATGGGTGGTGGGCACAGCAGGGTCACTGGGAGCTCCCCGGAGGCTGACAGACCTGGGATGGACCACCTTGTGTGGAGGACTCAGGGGCCCCTCTCTGTGCCTGGTGTCCTCATCCATAACGTGGAGCCAGTCCCCACACTCCTGACTTGTCAGGGTTAAGGGAGATAGGAATGCAAAGCAGAAGCCATTGGCAGCCAGCCGCTGTGGCCCCTGAGGACCCGGGTGGGATGGGTCCTACCTGAACAGGTGGTGCCAGGGGCTTGCTGCTGGGCATCTCCTACCCCGCCGTCCCTCCCGCCGTGTCTGCTCTCCCCTCTCATCCAGCTCCTGTCCACCGGGCCACCGTGTACCCGACAGACCAGAGCCCACAGGTTTGGGGCGCCTGGGCTCCTCCACTCCAGGCCGGCACCTTCTCTTCCTGTTGCCCTGGAGGGCGGAGTTGATTTGACTCCATGAGGTGTACCCAGTGAGGGTGTTTGCTTCACAGGAGCTCCTTCCCCAGGAACAGCCACCCTGGCCCCGGGGCCTGTGGGAAGGTCCCCCCCCCCCCCGCCCCCGCCAGTGCGGCGGGTCCACCGGAGCCTGATGTGAACTTGACTTGGCACTCAGGATGGTGTACGTGGCCCGAGGGTATGGTGGTCACCACGACAGGAAGGGGAGCTGGACCAAAGTGTCACCAACATAGCAATATAATATTTGGGGGAAAGAGAGGTCACACGTTTCCACTGAGAGTTGTGTTTTATTTCCGTTTAAGAAATTCTTGCTTCCCATTTGCAGCTACCCTGAACTCTGAAAACAGGCCCGGTGTGTGTGAGGGAAAGGGAAGTGAGAGCACCGGAAGAAGGGGCTTCTAGGGGTGGGGGAAGCAGGCCATTTGGAGGGACTGTCCCTGAAGAGAGAGCAAAGGACTTGTGTGGGGATGTGGGAGAACATACCCCACAAGGAGGAGCCGTACTTGGGCCCCTCTGCAGGACCGATCGCGTGTTGACCCTCCAGGTCCCGGTCACTCCCCAAATGGCTCTGAGCCCGTGCCAAGCCAGGAGACCCTGTGGGGCGGTAATGAGAAGCCCTAGGGACATCTGAGCTGCCCTGCGTGCCAGGCTAGGCGGAGTGCTTTCTCTGAGCCAATTTAGTTAATCCTCACAACAATTGGCACGTGGTTTGGATCGCCTCCCTTCCCCGATTCTGGCTGCCCTTACAAGAAAATCCAGACTCCTCCCCATGCATGATCCGGCCCCTGGATGTCTCTGTGCTCTTCCCCTTGCTTGCTGTGCCCTGGCCATACTGGATGCCCTTCTCTTCCTGGAGCACACCAGCCTGGTCCTGCCTCAGGGCCTTTGCTCTCCACATTGTGCATGGTGACCTTTCCTCTGCCCTCCCGGCTGCTTCCTTCTCATCACCTCAGCTCAAATTGGGAGAGGTCCACCCCGGGCACCCTAATAAAGTAGCTGTCACCCTCCAGACGTGCTGTGTCCCCAGTGTCTGAGATGACCACTGTCTGCATTTCTTGTGAGTCTAAAAGGATGATGAGTGGAATTTTTTCTGTTTTCCCGGAATTGCAGACTAGGCCCGGAACCGAGGACAGGACACACAAAATACTTGCCTCCATTCCAAGTTCAGGGAGCTGCAGGCAGCTGGGGTCAGCCTCCTCCCACAGGGCTGATGGAGAGGTGTCCCCTCAGAAAGCCAGCCCCGCCCCCACCTCATTCCCCTGCCGAGAATGGTGGGGGGGGTGGCCTTTAGGCGAGTGCAGTGTTACTGGTGAAAAAGCATGCCTCCCTCCCCATCTGGAGGCCCAAGGAAGGCGGGGTTCCAGGGCACCTGCTGGCCATCCCCTCCCCCTCCCCGGGCTGCCAGAGCACAGACGGATGAGGGGAAGTGAGTGGGGGTGTGTCTGTCTGCACGGTGCCCTCACACCCCAGCCAGTGAGCCCTGAGGGTGAGCAGCAGGGGCTGCACGAGGTGGGTCGTATCCCTCGGCTCCGGCTCCGTGTCTCGCACTGGCACCCGCCGCCGTTTGGGGAAGAGGGATGGCTTGTGTGAGGTTCCTGCAAACAAGCGCCAAAGCTGGACTTGGAAGGCAGGCCTGACTGACCGAAAACCGGATGGTCTCTGCGTTAGCTCCTGCCTCCCTTCTCTGCCCCTGACCGCCGGGTACAGATGGGGGACGTGGAAGGGATGTGGAAGCGTGGGGAGCAGGTGTGGCCTGGTTCCTGTGGGGAGGGGGAAGGGGGGTTAGCCACAGGTGCAGGGGGGCATGGGGAGGGGTCCCTGCGGAGGGGGCGCAGCAGCTCCAAAGCTGACCTCCAGAGCGTGATGTTCGACTCGATGATTTTAAATTTTTGGTCTGTCTCCTGCCCTCTGGCTTCTCCCTCCCAGCAGCAAGCCTGGCTGTGAATGAGTGTATCTGTCAATCTAAGGAAAGGGCTTTGCGCGATATGCACTAAAATGTGAGTAGTGATTCTCTTCAGGTACAAGAGCAGGGACAGTTGGGGGGATAGCTGAAACAGGACTTGACATTTTTGTTCGGTAATTTCCTATTATTTGCCTTTTTTGTTTAAAAACAACAACTAAGGAAACGACCCTGGAGCTGGTCTTACAGATGCCTGAAGATGTCACCGCAAACCTTGTTTGCCCGGCCCCAGAAATGCCAAGGTCTCTTTTTGGGTGGGGACCTTAGGAGGAGGCCTGTGGGGGTCCAGGGAGCACTTTCGGGGTCTCCTGAACATGTCCTTGCCTCGGAGACCCTGAATCCAGAGTGTCCGGGTTACTTGCTGTAACGCTTTGTCTGCTTCTCGCTGAAGGTCCTTCTGAAGGAACTTTGTAGGTGCGATAATGGTTTTTGGAGTTTCCAGTTTAATATTCAACCCGGATGTGAGGCCAGTTGAATGAGGATTGGTGCCGTCCTGCCTGGATCTTGTTCTGTTCATAAACATGTTTATTGCCCCCAGAGGAAGCTGCTGCTTTTCACGCAGACAGGGAGGGCCTGGGGTCCCCTTTAGAGGGTAATGGGCTCAGAGCCTAGAATGAGGGATGGAAACCCTACAGGTGGGGCACCCGGCTGGCTCCGTCGCAAGAGTCTTGATCTCGGGGTTGTGAGTTCGAGCCCCACACTGGGTGTAGAGATTACTTTGAATGAATGAGTACATACATACATACGAAAAGTATAGGTAGTTTGCACATGGGGACTGTGGGGTGCAGCCTGGGTGTGGCTCTGGGGGTTCACATAGGCCCAACCTTCAGGGCCTGGGGAGGAGGGGGTGCCCCTGGCTACTTTCCCATCTAGGACCCACCCAGGCTCCCATTAAAGCTTCCTTTCTTCTGAGCAGGGAAACTCCAGCCCAGCCCCACACAGGGTCCTGCTGTGGATGAGGTCCTGCTGTGGGATGTGTTAAATGGGTGTTGTCACAAAACCTTAGTTTCCTGCTGTGGACTAGGCGCTTCCGCTGGGACCTGGTAAATGGGTGTTGTCACAAAACCTTAGTTAATCTTCCCTATGGGGAAGCTCCTATAAGAGCAGTGATGGGGCTGGGAATGCAAGCTGGTGCAGCCACTCTGGAAAACAGTATGGAGGTTCCTCAAAAAACTAAAAATAGTACTACCCTACGACCCAGCAATGGCACTACTAGGCATTTATCCAAGGGATACAGGTGTGCTGTTTCGAAGGGACACATGCACCCCCATGTTTATAGCAGCGCTATCGACAATAGCCAAAGTATGGAAAGAGCCCAAATGTCCATGGATGGATGAGTGGATAAAGAAGATGTGGTATAATGTACAACAGAGTATTGGTTGGCAATCAAAAAGAATGAAATCTGGCCATTTGCAGCTACGTGGATGTAACTGGAGGGTATTATGCTAAGCGAAATTAGTCAGAGAAAGACAAATATCCTATGACTTCACCCCTATGAGGACTTTAAGAGACGAAACAGATGAACACAAGGGAAGGGAAACAAAAATAATATCAAAACAGGGAGGACAAAACAGAAGAGACTCTTAAATATGGAGAACAGAGGGTTACTG